ATCCGAGTCCCAGGGAATTACATCCTAGCCTATGAACTAGCAGAGGTGACCACAAAACCTCTCTGTATGGTCCTTGAGGAATCTTGGAAAACTGGCAAAGTGTCAGCAGGAAAGCAAATGTCAGCCCCACCTTCTAATATGGGCAGAAGAAAGGAACCCATAGACTTGGTAGCTTAATCTTTATGCTAGTAAAAGATTCCAAAATATCTAGAAAGGTTGAGCTGAAATGAATTTAGCAGGGAGAAATGTAAAGTTCTGGGGATGAAAAGTGAAAGTCGCAAGTATTAGACTGGGGAGACCTTATTAGGCAAAAGTGCCATCGAGCTGAGCTGACGCAGCAACGCGATGCAGTTGCCAAAATGGTCAAGGTTCTACAAGGACAGAACAGAGGGTCCACACCTGGAGTACCGAGTCCAGTTTTGGTCAGCGCATTACAAAAGACGAGTCCAGATCGTGGGAAGTGGTTGTTCCCTCTACTCTGCTTGGAGCCCCTTGCCCATTCAAAAGGACAACACCACAGTCGGACACAGCAGGGTGACGGGTGTGGTGAGGAAGCGAGTATGTCAGCCTTACAGAAAAGTTGCCCAGTTGCCCCTCAGCGGAGGCCTTCAGAAAGCTGCAGGACAGCACTTTAAAGAGACCCTGTTTCCTAACACAAAACCAGCCTCTTGACCAGGGAAAATTAAGCAGAGCACCACACAGGATTGCACCCGGTTCCTCATCCTTCCCCTGCATGGCTGCCAGGGAGAGGCCGAGCCTTCCAGAGAGATCAGAGCCCAACTGAAAGGGTCGCCAAGCCGGGTGGGACCAAACCGGAAACTTGCTCTTCTGGAGAAGGGAGAGCCACCGCGGCCTTTGCCTCCCCAATCCCAGCCCAGCTGGGTTTCTGGCCTGGTTAGCTGTTTAGTTCTCTCCCCCTCCCTTCCATCCGGCCCACATTCGGGGCAGCCCTGTGCTGCCATCGCCCTCAGCCTTCAGCTGCAGTCTGGTTGAGCTCCGGGCTCGCCTGGGCCTCTGGCCTTAGCAAGGGAGGCCAGCCCGGAGCCCTTCGGTGGAGGACCAGACACCCCGGCCAGACAAGGCCACGGCCCTTCCAGAGCCTCCTCCGCCCTTCCAGAGCGCTCGCCCCAGCATCGGGCGCTTTCTCACTCAGCAGGCTCAGGAAAGCTCCCTCCTGCCCGAAATGAGATGGGCAGAGAAGGGGGGCCGCCCGCCCCCCCCGGGTGGTTCACTGCCCTCCTTGCGGGGGGGGTTGGAGGGTGTGCAGAAGGGGCTCTTCGGCTGACCGACGGCTCCTGCTCCCCACCGCCCCTTTCTTAAAGCCCAGCCGCCGGCCGCCACTTGCATGCCTTCGCTCATCCAGCGGGCCTTGGCCGCAGCCCCCGAGCTCGCCTCGCCGCACCGGCTAACCGGGCGCCCGCTAGGAAGAAGGGGCTGTCGAGCTGAACTGGAACCTCTCCGCTCGGCGGCAGTCTATCCGAGCGGGGCTACCTTCATTCCGGCGGGGGCG